GAGTTTCATGAAAATCGGACCAAAATTGCCAGACAAAATGGACGCCCCTTGTACGCAAATAGTGTAAATATTAATCAAGGTTGTGGACCCTCTAGAGGTCACAATTTTGTCCGATGAAACTTGAAATACATGTTTATAACCCAAAGATATTGGTTCCTGTCGATGTTCGTGCATATCGAATCGTAACTTCCTGAATTATGGCCCTTGATTGAACAAAAAATAACACAATTACTACTTCTCAGTGTTAACCGACTCGGTATACAATCATTAACATGTTCATAATCTTGTTGTTTATTTGTGAATATATTGTCACTTTGTAAAGTGCCCCTGAACATGTTATATGAAAGAGCGCACTATAAATATGCTGTAATAATAACTAGAGTTGCATGCAATGCTGAAGGCTTTCACCTTGCGCAAAATGTTATACGACGAGCGGACGCAAGACAAAGACTTACCCCACACATAGATGCATAACCCAAATATTCACACATTCTTGGGGGGTTGGATGGCCGAATGGTTAGCATGTGCGTGCTGTATCATAAAGCCTGTCATTGAGTCAACTGGCGTGGTTTCAAATCCGCGGTTGTACGTGACAAGGAGTAGGGTCGCCTGTCCAACCTTGTGGGTTTTCTCCGGGTCCTGCGGTTCCCCCCACTGCTAAAGACCCCTACACGCAAGCAAATTATTGAAATAAAATTAAACCATATGTTAGTCCCGAAATGACCTGGTTTGTGTCGAGTGGACGTTAAACCCCATTTCTCTCTCTCTCGCACATTCTTTTTATGGGCATTTCAAGAGAAAGGAACTGAAAAATAAAGTTGAACAATTCACAACATAATCAATCATAGATGGCTCGAATCGGATAGACATCGGCCATCTAACTATGTAATTGAAGGAAACTCAGAATGCCAGGAAATGGCCATGACCTGGATAATACAGTAAGAATTATGGCCATGACACACATCAACGGGAAGGCCACAAACTCGATGGGAAATTTGAAGTCAAAGTCAAGGTCACGTCGATATTCACACGTAAAGGCCAATCCAAGTGGTCAATTGCCAAATAGTCATTTGTAGAAAATGACTTAGGTCAAAAATCAAAATATACGAAAATTATTAATATTATGACCTGCAGCGTTAGGCAGGAAGCACAGTTTGTCCGAATCCATCTTAGTGTCTTGTTACTCGAGTCTAAATAGTCAACAAACAAGATAAGAGGACCTGAGGTCAAATGTTAAACAGATTCATTACCACCCGAGTAACTCATCCGTTCTTTGTATGCTTATTTCAAAAGAAGGGAATTGAAAAATAAAGTTGAACAATTGACAAAATCATCTTAGATCGCTCCAATCAGAGAGACATCGTCAATCCAACTATGTAATTGAAGGAAACTCAAAATTCCAGGAAATGGCCATTTCTAAAGATTTTGAAAATCTTCAAGTTTTCAAGAATAATAATTAAAAATAGCCCATGCTTAAACATCATCAGGGTTTCTGTAACAAGTACAATATTCAATACTACAGCAAAAAAGTGTCGTTGTTAGTTAGTTGTTTTTTACGTCCGCTTCCACTGAGGTGATATTGGACTTGCTTATAAACACTGTAAGCCGTCGATTCGGTCTAGATGATTGCAGTTATGAGATAATTTTGACAAAGAAGCAACCATATTAATTCAAAGACTAATTATTACACACAGAAATCAACTATTTCTGTTATAGGGACATTAAACCCATATTTTGGGTAGAAGTAAACACTCATAGTTGAAATAATTTTAATTCAAATATCGTCACTGTGAAAGAAAAAGCCCTCTTGAATATGATCTATACGTTGACAAAATGTATAGATTATATCCACCATTACTCCATGTTTCGCTTAACAGTGAAAGATGACATTTTCAATTTTCGAGCTCTTTGTTTTCCTACTCCTGATATTTTGGACTGTTGCATAATGGTTTCATACGTTGACTTTTCGAGAAAAAGACCCCTAAACATGCTCCAAATCGTAAAAATATGCTGTTTTCAATTTTCGATCTCCTTTTTTCAGCTACCCATGACAATTAAAAAAATTGTACAATGGTTTCACACAATACACTACCCATTAGCCTCTCGATTGAGAACGTTTGAAAAAAATTGTTGGCCGAGTTTCCGAGAAACTTGCGTTTAAACTTGATCGAAATCTTAAATAACCTTACTTTTCAAAGTCCCATAACTTTTTTAGTTTGAAAAAGAAACTTGTCGCTATATTACCTTCTTGTAGATAATTCACGTGGCTATCAAAGGACAGAGGAGAAAGTGTTGGAGGTTCTGCTTCCAATCATTACTGGCATTGTTAATGATTCTATAATGACCTGTTTCCAACTTACTATTCATCGACAAGGTTATTGAAAGAGTTATTGCTTCTCAAATTTCAAATTATCTGTCTGAAAACGGTTTACACGAATCACTTCAATCAGCTTACAAACGAGGTCACAGTATAGAGACGGCTCTACTTAAAATTAAAAACGATATTGACCTGGCACTGGATAGGAATCTAGCCGTACACTTAGTACTTTTGGACCTCAGTGCTGCTTTTGATACTATAGTTCATAGTATTTTATTTCAAAGGCTGGAATGTTCGGTTGGGATCTGTGGTTCTGCACTGTCATGGATAAAGTCATATCTTCAAGATAGAACACAAAAGGTGCAAATAAACAGGTCTGTGTCTCAACACTGTGCTGTTAGGATAGGTGTTCCACAAGGATCTGTATTGGGACCTCTACTTTTTCTTCTATACATTCTTCCGATTGGTCAAATCATAAGAAGACATGGGGTACAAAACCACGGCTTTGCTGATGACACCCAAATATATGACTATTTTCAACACAACAACTATCTTGCTTCCAAGGATTCTATCAGTGGACTTGAGTCTTGTCTTAATGACATTCGAGGATGGATGACCAGAAATAGGCTAAAACTTAACGATGACAAATCCAAATTTCTTATATCATCAAAATCACAATCCAGTAAATTGTTTAAAGCGGATTCCATTCAGATCGGTGATTGCTCTATATCTCCCAAGAAGCAGGCTAAAAATCTAGGCTATGTTACTGATGAATTTATGTCCCCAGTTCCCCAAATCAATAGTATCATACGGAAAATGAATCATCAAATGAGAGCTATTTCGAGAATACGCTCTAATCTTAATACTGATGCTTGCCAGAGTGTTGTTAGAGCATTAGTAACATCGCACATGGACTATGCAAATTCTCTTCTATTAGGGGCACCAGAAACAGCTTTAAACAGACTACAAATAGCGCAAAACAATGCTGCACGTCTTATAACTAAAACACGAAAATTTGATCATATATCAGCTAAGTTACAGAACCTCCATTGGCTTCCAGTTCGAGCGAGGGTTCAATTTAAAGCTCTTGTGAATGTGTTTAAATCAATTTATTCTGACACTGCATCCAGTTATTTAAAAGAACTCTTTGATTACTCTACTCCCTGGCGATCCAACCTTCCTTCTTCAAGTGATCGTAGCATATTGAGGATCCCCAAATATAATAAGCGTTCTGGTGAATATGCTTTCTCCGTCAGAGCAGCTAAAATGTGGAATGATCTTTCAAAAACTCTTAAAGAGTCCTCTTCCATCCAGAGCTTTAAGACTAACTTAAAAACATACTTATTTCAAAAATGTTTTTGAACTGTTTTGTTGTGAATGCGCTTAGAAACACTCATGTGTAATGAAGCGCTATATAAATCGAACAATAATAATAATAATAATAATACTTTAACTGCTCGGTAAACAACCAATTGATACATCGCATTTTGCGCACAGACACTCATTTTTCAGAATTTTGTCAAACTTTGGATTCCTTTCTTGACCACTTCCGGTGATTAGAGGATTTTCATTTATAGATCAAGGGACAATTTAGACATCTTTATTTATATTCCTAAAGTTTCAGAAAAATTGTTGGAGCCGTTTTAAAAAAATAAGCTTTACAATTTTTGTATAAAATGCGAAAAAAAGTGAAAAATCAAAGTTAACATTGCTGACAAAAATGATATCGTTGGAATCGGATCGATGTCAGCTATCCAAATATGTAATTAGAATTTATAAATTCCAAGAAATAAGCAAAAAAAATACCAACAATTTTGAACATTTTCCAATATTTACCAAAAAAATAAGAGGGGCAAAGTTTCAGAATTTGACATTTTCCAACTGCTATCCGCTATCCAAAAATGTAAATATCTCAAAAATAGATTGAGAATTAACAAAATTATGGCCGATTTTCAATTTTCGTGCATTTCCGCCATATGCACAAATCTCGAAATAGTTTTAAGGAGTAACCACCACCCATTTTCCCCAGAGAAATTCAAACTTCAGACCTCTATCTCTTATAGTTGCTGAGATCTAGCTTCCCCCAATAAAAAAAAATAATAAAAATAATCTTAGTAATAACAATTTTCAATGGTGAAATCCTAATAATTAGGTGAATGCCTTGTTGGAGTTCGATAGTAAGCAGAGATAAGCAATCAAATTGGTTTATGATTTGAGGCACGATAACTTTGTTTTTAATTAAGTGAGAGTGATGAAACTCGCAAGTATAGATTCATTATATCATTACCTTGACTAAGTTCGATGATGAGAATTTTCTGCTTAAGCTAAGGAGCGGTAAGCAATTTGATTGGTCAAGACTTTGGAACATAACAACTCTGCTTTTAATTAAGGTAGAATATTTAAACTTGATATAGATGTTCATTAGGTGAATGTCTTGACTGAGTTCAATGATACATTTTGAGCTAAAGCTAAGCAGAGCTAATCAATTTCATTGGTCAATGCTTTGGGACAAGATAATCTTGATTCTCTCTGATAGAGAGTGATGAAACTTAGTGTAGTTTGATTGCTTGATACTTTTAAAAAAAAAAATAAATGTGCGATTAATTAATGTGTGTCATCTATTTATTTTGGGATTTCGGCGGGGGACATCAGCCTGACTGTTGGCTTGTTATTTTATAAACAGATGTATAATGAATGATGAAAGATTACGTTGGTCAGCTACACAGTTACAAGATCATCCTTTTTTGAAAGAAACAATACTCCCACCATTACCTGAAAAACTTCCAGTAAAACAAAAAGGTACATATAACTTGGATTCAATTTATTCCCATTAATTTGACTAAATTGCTGATACCTATTAATAGCTGGAGATTTCAGAATCAAAATCGAGCAACTATTATGGATGTAGTTTAAAATGGTAAGTGGAGGAGAACCACACCACACATAAAAGTAGAAACACATGGACTGAAAATAAAACAAACACCGACATTTAGGGGGATAATTATAAGATTAAGTAAAGTCCAAGCCTCACCCTTCGCTAATTGTTATTGTTTGCATATCTGTATAGAGGTGAAGAAAAGTATTATTGAGGATGATGATGAAGAAGAAATACCATATATAACAGCATTTGAAGCCAGTGGTCTTTCCAGATTAACCAATGAATTTGAAATAATGAAATCTTTAGGAAAAGGAGGATTTGGTGATGTCCTTAAGGTAAAGTATATTGTTTAAGTTATCAAAACTATTAAAACAAATGTGTTATTAGGGTTTCACACTGTGTAGTTTGTGTGAAACACTATTGTTTTTGTTAAAATTATTCTTATTATTATTATTTTTTTTTTTTTTCCAATTTGATTGTATCTCGGAAACTAATTGTCGGATTGATTCGATGTCTTCGGTGTTACTGGAAAAGTGGGTGTGACTTAGAGATTAAAGCTATTTCGAACGTTCTGCGACAATGCGAAATGTCCGAAATCGTCGAATTTGTCGATTTTTGAAATATTGCCGTAATATTAACAATAATCGTCGGATTTTAACATTGGATACATTTTGACATAGCCAGAGACAAGGCACATAGCCACGGTTCTTTAGATTTTTGATTTTCCATGAATCGTCGGAGATATTAGGCGCCAAATTTTGAAAATTTAAATTTTTACAAAAAACTTTTTTATTTATGAATATTTTAATGTGGTATTTTATCCAGGGTTAAAGAGTCATCTGATTTGACCAAAAATGGCACCATTTTTTGTCATCGTAATTTTCCTTGGCCGCCATTGGCTAATTCAGTTTTTCAGTCCTGGATTAATTATTTATTGCTCAATTTGTATAAAACAAAGTTCATATGCTCCGTGATCCAAAATGTCATTTTTTTTGTTACCGGTAAAGTTACCTTTTGGCAACGGAAGTGACGTAAATTTAGCAAAAACTACAATTTTGACAGTTCGGTACCACTTTTTGAAAGCAAATATTATTTTTTTCAAATCTGGTATGACTGAAAGTGTGTGCCCTGTAAAGGCGCAGAAAACATCGGGCTCGAGTTTTTTTAATTTTGATTTCGTTTTCAGGTCATTTTGATTTAAAGGTGAAAAAAGGTGAAAAAATGAGCTATTTACAACCCATTCATGCTTTTCATATTTTAAAATATTTCTTCGCAACTTTCATAAACTTGTAGCATTAATCCATACGAAGAGAATCTATCTCAAAATTAGTTTGTAATATGAGCAGTTGCCGAGAAATGTTCAATTTTGCATGAGTCACTCTTTACGCTATTGTGTCTGTAAAAGAGTCAATTATTATTGGATTTTCATAAAAGTGACACCATTTGATGCGTAATGTCAATTGTGACTAGTTCAACTCAATTTAACATTTTCCATGTCACCGGAAATGACGAAATTTGAGCAAAAACTGTATTTATAGCCTTAGAAACAAATAATTTATTGAAATGAGTCGTATTTGTTGTTTGTTTAAAATTTTGATATTTGATTCTAATCAACTAATAGAATGAACCCATGCGATCATATAGATATCACAAAATGGTTTCTAACTTGTTCAGTTGCGGAGAAATAGGCAATTTTCAACAGGTCACTTTTATCCATAAAAGTGTCAATTATTATTCGATTTTCATGAAATTTTCACTATGTGATACCTTATGCCATTTACGATTTCATACAGGTAATTTAAGATTTTCATTATCACCGGAAGTAACGTCATTTTGGCAAAAACTGTATTTTTAGCCTTCAAAACATATATTTTATTCAAATGAGTCTGAGTTGTTATGTTTTTAAAATCATGATATTTGATTCCAATCAACAAATAGAATGAACCCATACGATCATACAGATACCAAAAAATGGTTTCTAACTTGTACGGTTGCAGAGAAATAGACAGTTTTCTACAAGTCACTTTTCAAGGTTTTTGGTCTATAAAAGTGGCAATTAATATTCGATTTACATAAAATTTTCACCATGTGATGCCTTATGCCATTTCTGATTTCATAAAACTAATTGAACATTTTCATTATCACCGGAAGTACTGTACACTTACATGTAACAAATGTATAAAATGAATTGATATTGCTGGATTTGGTTGATTCGGCGTCCATTTTATTTGATGTGTGCAATGATTAGGTGGAAACCTGTTTAATGGTTTCATTGGTACCGGAAGTGAAATATGTTTAGGGTAATGTGGCACCAGTGAAACCCGTCATTACTGCATCGCAGTTCTAGTTTGTACCTATTATTGTTCTTTAAGGTCTTTGAACGTCATTTTAGGGATTATTAATCCCTTGCAAACTACAATAGTGTAAAAGGTTAATCTCAAAAAGAGATATCAGTCCAAAAACTATTCTATTCTATTCAGTATTTACAAAAATATAATGAATTGAACATTTTGCAACTGTTGTCATTATCAAAATTTATTTTAATATATATTGTGCGTTTTTTTGTTAAATAACAATTGTTTAATCGATTGTTTATGATTTTTATACGCCCACATGGAAATGTGGACGTATATTGCTGTCGCCCCCGTCCGTACGTCTGTCAGCCACAATTTCTTGTGAACGCTTTAACACCAAAAATTATGATTCGATTGTTTTAAAATTGATATATGTTGTTGACGTTAATGAGATAAAGAAGCCTGTTTAATTTCAATAATTTCTGTTTATTAGGTCTAGAGTTATGGCCCTTGTTTCACTTTGTGAAATTTATATGCATTATTTGAATTAGTGAAACGAAGGAGCCTATTGAATTTCAGCAATTTCCCTTAACTACTTCTAGAGTTATGGCCCTTGTTTCACTTTGTTCCATTTTGTGAACTCTCTAACATCTAAAATTGTCTGCCGATCTGTATGAAATTTATATGTGTCATTTAAATTAGTAAAAAGAAGAATCGTATTGAATTTCAGAAATTTCTGTTTATTACCTCTAGAGTTATGGCCCTTGTTTCACTTTATTGCACCTTGTGAACACTCTAACATCAAAAGTTATCTGCCGATCTGTATGAAATTTATATGCTTCATTTAAATTAGTAAAAACAAGAATCCTATTGAATTTCAACAATTTCCATTTATTATGTCTAGAGTTATGACCATTGTTTCACTTTGATGAACCTTGTTAATGCTCGATTGATGAAAGTTGTCATCTGATATGTATGAAATTTATATAAATCATTTTAATTTATGAAACGGAGGTCTAATGAATTTCAGCAATTTCTGTCAATTATTTCTAGAGTTATGGCCCTTGTTTTACTTTGTGAACCTTGTGAACATTCGAACGACAAAAGTTATCATCCGATCTATATGAAATTTATATGCATTATTTAAATTAGTAAAACGAAAAAGCCTGTCAAATTTCAAAATTTTGTGTAAATTACTTCCAGTGTTAAGGTCCTTGTTTCAGTTTGTAGAACCTTGTGGATCCTTAAATGACAAAAATTATAATCTGATCTATATGAAATTGTCTTGTAAATGCCTCTAATTACCTACAAAAGAATAAATATGTGTCAATTCTTGTCGACCGCCCAGACGATTTAGCTGCTGTATGTTTTTGTTGCCTGGCAACCTATCTTTTTTATTGCAAATCTGACGTTGTTTTGGTTTAAGATGGTTTTGTCTTTAAACTTTAACGCTTATATTAAGCTGTGGGAAATTTTCCAAAAAAAAGAAATGAATCATATAGACTTTAATTGTCCTGTTTTCTTCAGGTTAAAAACAAGTTAGATGGTCGTATATATGCTATCAAGAGAATTCCTCTCAACCCCAAAAGTCAGCATTTTACAAAGAAAATTACCAGAGAAGTAAAACTATTGTCCAGATTGAACCATGAAAATGTAGTAAGGTAAAAAATCATGGCTACACGGGGATATTTATGTTCTTTGATCGTTACTGTATTATTCGTTTGGTATGAAGCAACCACCTGTACGTATAGGTTACTTGTTTATAAATTTGAATCTAAGATAAATTTCACTACTGTATTTTTTGGTATATTAGGCACACTTTTTTTACCAGATATTTTTATACGCCCACATTTTTATGATATACCATACTTTTACACTATTTGCATACGAGGGTCCACAACCATGATATTTACACTATTTGGGTAAGAGAGGCGGCCATTCTGTCAGACAGTTTTGGTCCGATTTTGACGATTTTGATGAAACTTGAAATTCATGTTTATAACCCAAAGATCTTGGTTCCTTTTGATATTCACACATATCAAATTGTAACTTCCTGAATTATGGCCCTTGATTGTACGAAAAGTTTTGTTTTTAGCTTGTGGTGCCTCTAGAGGTCACAATTTTTGTCCGATTGAAAAAAACGTTTGAATATTTCGCCGTTACACCATAATAATGGCTGAATTTGAATTTCGTGAAAATCAGACCAAAACTGCTGGACAAAATGGCCACCTCTCCTACCCAAATAGTGTAAATATCAAGGTTGTGGACCCTCTAGAAGTCACAATTTTGATCCGATTTTGATGAAAGCTGAAATATATCTTTATAACCCAATGATCTTGGTTCCTGTCAATATTCTATCATATTGGATCGTAACTTCCTGAATTATGGCCTTTGATTGCACGAAAAATCGGTTTTTGTTTTAGCTTGTTCTCTATTTATCCATTTCTTGCAAAATATGGGCGTATCCTGCCTGACAGCCGCTGGTTATTTATAGAAGGGGTGCGCCTAATACATAGTATTAAGCAAATTTAGGCTTTTCCCTCTGTCAACATCAAAGTCTGAAGTTGATATCTACATTTTTTGTGCAATAAAGATGGCCGCCATTTCAGCTACCTCTATGCCGTATACCGCTAGCCATAAACGACAATGTTAACACCATGGGCCGATAGCTGTTCAGTGTTAGCAGCGTTTAAAATATCTGCAAAATTATCGTTAATATTTCTGTTATTCCTACGTAATTGATGACATATATTTCTGCTATTCCGTATAATGCAGGGTTCTTAATCCATTTTGAAACGTTGGTTCAAATGAGGTCCCGTAGGAAATGGGTTAATTATAAAGTTTACATTCCCTTTAATATAACTAGACTTCAACATAAATAATTCTTGGTAATTTGTTATGGAGAATGTTGTATTTTAATGTATGTAATTACCACAAAAATAACTACAGGGACAGGTACACCTTCGTACGTAACTAACGTACGAAAATTAAATGGTAGCTGGCTTTTTTTTCGCACGTATACAGTGAATGGCCATTTTGCTCAGTAAACCCAGCCAGAATTTGGCTATTTTTTTAAAATTGCGTTAAAGTTTTAAATTTTTGTTTAAAACTGAAATAAATTAACTTTTAGTCAATCCCCACACTAAAAACATTAACAGAATTGATTGTGTATATCAGAAATAGACACGACCGAAGCACAAAATAGTGCCAATATGCCGACATCAAATCTAGAGTTGTAGATGATGTTATTTTTGTGAAAAATCATTGGAAAAAGCGATAAGACGTTCTGTACGGATTATACAGTCCTAAAGGCTGCAAGAAGGCTATTGTTTACAATGTAACATTGTGTCTTGTAATGTTGATAATGATCATAATGATGGTGTTTACATTTGTTTGTTGACGTGACCTCATGACCTGTGACGTTTAGATAACGTCATATGGATATCATGGCTATTCACTGTGTCAGAGTCACTTCTCTGCAGGTAGGGTGAGTCTGTTGTTCAGATTGGTACACCTTTTGAAAATTTTCCATATTTAATTCACGTACCAGCTTGAAGTTCACGTCAGTAATATTCCAGAATGAATTACTGTATTTGTTTATTCGATGAAACATTCACGTTTCATAAGTCGATGATCTAAAATATTAGCATCATGGCATTTCTGCATAAGACAATTTGTACTTTTTATATACGCCCACATTTTCGTGTGGACATATATTGTCGTCGCCCCTGTCCGTCTGTCCATCCACAATTATTTGTGAACAGTCTTCAGGTCACAATTTTTATCCGATTTCATTGAAACTTGAAATATAGGTTTATCACCCTAAGATCTTGGTTCCTTTCGATATTGGCCCCTGATTGTACAAAAAATCGCGTTTTTAGCTTGTGGACCCTATAGAGGTCATAATTTTTATCCGATTAAAAAAAAAACTGTATTATTATATCACAGTTAAACCCTAAGGACGGCTGAATTCGAATTTCGTGAAAATCGGCCCAAAACTGACAGACAAAATGGCCGCCCCTCGTTCTCAAATAGCGTAAGAATATGGTATATCAAGGTTGTGGACCCCATAGAGATCACAGTTTTTATCCAATTTTTGTTAAACTTGAAATGTAAGTTTATAACCCAAAGATCTCGGTTCCTTTCGATATTTGCGCATATCAAATTGTAATTTCCTGAATTATGACCCTTGATTGTAGGAAAAATCACTTTCTTTTTAGCTTGTTCTCTATCCATCTCTTGAAAATGTGGGCGTATCCTGCCTGGCAGCCGCTGGTTTGTCTGTCACGTAACTAGTCACATACTTGCAAAAAATTTTATTTATTATATATATAATATCCAAAATTTTTAGCACAACCGCAAAGCTGCACTACTTTGTTTCACGGTATGCCGTACTTTTACTTTTCGTCCGTCTTGGGACTATTCATAAATAATGTCATTGTATAAAGATGGACAGTATAGTATATTTATACATATTTACATAGTAACACTGTGGTTTTAATTGGCTATAGTTACCATTGTCTATGGTTACATAGTATATCGTTAACTAATAGAAAACATGTACACACATGTGTTAATCTGTAGTATATGGGTTCAATTTATGAACAATGAGTGGAAGATAATCATGGGATAGATTTAAGAAAATTAATGAAGCTAATGGTCAATTGTTACTTATTGACTATTAAGTCAAGGAACGTATTTTTTAATAAAATTTTTTTCCATTAATTTCCTTTTCGTGGTGTTATCGACTTTCATTTTATAAAAATATATATATATATATCAATAGATGTATGAAGTTAAAACCGTAGTAGTGTTAATATATAAAAAAATAAAGGTTAAAAATGCCTAAAGAAAGTACTATTGTTTAATTGTCTACATGTTTCGCCTGAGCTTGTCTAGACAAACAATAACAATAACAATGTTGTGACGTCATGGAAGAATAAACATACAATAATATAATAATAATGAAGTAGATAATATATAATATATATATAGCATAATATTGTAATTATTTTGAAATGTTTAATTTGGGTTTAAATTTGTCAGTAAAATATTATTCATTCAATCTCATTTTCATGGGATCTGAATACGGCATCTTAAAGAAAGGGTATATTTTGAACTCGCCTTTACCGCACTGAGAACTGCTAAAGGGTGAATCTGTGCACAGCCACCATAGAATTCTCAGTCATGGATGTTATTTGTACGTGTATCGAAAGAAAATTAATTTTCCGACTATTACTTGGTATTACCACGTTAAAACTGTAAATAACGTGTGTTAATTAACAAGGGTGAAAAAAATGTCTGAGAGGTGAGTTAATTAACGCTAGGGGTGAAAAACTGTGCGACAGTGCGTTTTCAGTAGAGGTGTGTTAATTAACAGACCGGTAAAAAATGAATGTCAATGTTGTGTATTGTTTAATTGGCGTCTTTTCTCTCTAGTTGCGATAACTGCATCAAAAGGAGTATAATCAAGGACCAACAGGCTTTATCTGACAAGTAAGTGTTAAATCAAAATTTGGGAAGTAAAACTGTTTTACCGTGCGATTTTTCATTCGACCGTGTGTTTTACGCAGGTCTTTGTATAATTAGAGACAGGTCTTTAGACAGGCGTGTGTGCTCGCTATGATCTACGTTTCTCTTATGTGTCTTTTGTATTGCGTACCATATATATAAAGTTGAATTTAATGAAATAAAAATACGGACCTTAATCTATCGTATACGGAAAGGCGAATGTAATGTCGTCATTTATAAATACGCAGCAGACAGCGCCCAATTTGAATATCCACAGGAATATAGAGAGTAAATCCAGCAAAAAACAACAGAAATATATTTCTGCTTTATTACTAAAAATACGCGCACTCACCGTTTGACATTTATTAAATTTATAAAAACGTGCCATGTTGGGTAAATTGTGCATCTTACCTTCAATAGCAATATCCATAAAACAGAAATCTCCATATTGATAAATAATACGGCACAACCAACCGAACAGTGGTAATTTCCTCACAAATGATATTTTTAAACTAAAATTACTTTAGCTTTTCACTAAATTTACATCGTATACAATCCAACGATCCTCATTCCAGAACTTGTAATTTATAATAGCCGCTTTTATACAATTACACAATTGTCCCGTGATCTAACATATCAAAGAAGCACATACGCCCGATATGACACATAATCATTTTTCAAGACTTTGTAGATTGGACTTCCTTGTTGTGTTTTCTTCGTGATCCTAATATATAAAACTACATTTCAAGTGATTTCTTCAACTTCAAAGGTCCCTCGTTCTCAATAAATGATAGCTGCTCGGAATACCTTGGTGAGGTCTGATCAGCCTCACTCAACACCCTCTTTTTATAACCCCTAGACTGACCTTGACTTTAATTTCAAACCAAAATATGGAATAAACCTCCCCATTTCCCAAGACCAGGGGGGAGAACATTACCTTATTTGGTCTACCAACCATATGTCATAAACAGATAGAGTTTGATGGATATTTTGACAATGGTTAGGATTTTACAAATATATCACTGGTTTTTTTTACATATAAACATGTCGTTCGGTTTTATTAGATCGTGGGATTTGACTCGATAGAAAGAGTTAACCAACAATTTTTCAAAGACCCAATATTGTCTTAAGGACAAAGTCTTACAACTTG